AAAAAAAAAAAAAAAGAAACAAGAAGCAGGGTGGGATTTACTGATCTCCAGATCTTAAATGAAACTTCCAGAATACTGTTTCAGTGTCAAGCTGCCAGAGACACTGGACTTTATCTGGTTACTAAGGTTAAACATCAGTATTAGTTTTGGTGACTATACTATTAAAAATTAAAAACAACTCTAAGAAACTCAGGCAATCAATGAACCTCAGAATAAAAAGATTAATCATGTTCATACTCTTCTGTCATTAATACGTACATTCAGAAAATAGAATCAAAGCTTCAAAACTCATGAGAGACTCACACAAGGTAACTGTAAATTTCAAAGGAGAATTAAAGATTGCCCTAAGCATGAAAGAGATAGTTTGGAACATATGGCAGTATTTTAATCTCGGTATGTTTATAGATACGTATCTATAAACATATAGATAATATGTTTATAGAATACTGCTTAAAAATATAAATCAGTTCTGAATATTTACATTATAGAGAGAGCCCTCAGCTCAAATTCACCCAATGTTTGGCAAGAATCATGTATGATAGTGCTCTTCCCAATTTCAGGATTCAGGAACTTCATCCCCCTCCCACCCAAACACAGCTACACCTGCCCTTCTCATGGCAGACCCTCTGGTTTTGTGACAGAAAAGCTCTGACAAAAGGGCAAATGGGTGGAGTGGGAGGAGGACATAGCAGTGGGGTTGAGGATTCCAACTGTTTTGGATACAAATATGATAGAAGGAGAGGTAAAAATCTGCAGCGTGGTTACTTTGTCACAACATATATAATACTCACTAGGACTCATGTAGAATTTTACTTGGAAAAGAGACTGGATCCAAAGTGTAACCACCAGGAATTGCTCTTACAACAGAGGGAAGTTTCTCAAAGGAAAAAAGTAAGGCAGAGAGCTTAATAAAAGATTCTTCCAATTGGATCAAATAAACTAAGAACATCTCTGAAATACATTTCTAAAAATTTTAGAAATCCATGGGAAAATAAATTTTTATTTCAAAAAATAAATGCAGACCATCTGACTCCAAATTCAGATGACTGTAATAATTCAAACCTGACAGCACTCAAACTAAGTTTATTAAGCAGCAGGGTTTAGCAAAGGTCATTTCTCATCTTCCCTCTCTCGTATCTTTTCTCGTTTACCACCATCATCCCTACACCTACAACACTCTCTCCAAAAAAACTCATGTCGAAATAATCTATAATTTAAAAGGGCAGTTGTACATTTTTTTATTCTTTTCTAAATCTATCCTAATCAGAGTATCTCTTGTCTGTGGCCATATATACGTTTTCTTTTTTATAAACTTGGGGAAGAGAGATCATTGAGAGGCAAAAGTAAATTCAAACCTCCAGATAAGAAAATTGCTGCTTTAGAGTTACTGCAACTAATTTGTTTAATGACTTTACAGCTTACAAAGCACTTTCATATTTCACTGTCACATTTCACCATAATCCCAGGTGGGAGAGGTAGGACAGGGAATACTATGATCATCCAGGCTGTTCAGATGACAAAACTGCAGCTCACTGAGTTAAGGGACTCCAGGGATATTTGAGGTGGATTCATCTTCTGAGGCTGATGTCATGGAAGGTAACTGTGTTTTGTTTTTTTTTCCTGAGGAAGATTCGCCCTGAGCTAACATCTGTTGCCAATCTTCCTCTTTTTTTTCGTATGTGAGCTGCTGCCACAGCATGGCCACGGAGTGATGAATGATGTAGGTCTGTGCCTGGGAACTGAACCCAGGCTGCCAAAGCAGAATGTGCCGAACTTAACCACTAGGCCACTGGGGCTGGCCTGGTAACTGGTAACTTTGTGTTTTGACAAAACAGTCCTTCACAGCACTGTGTGGTTGGACTCAATATGACATTTTATTCTGGAAACACGTAATATCATAAGTTAAGGTCCTTCCTCACACTTACCCTTTACAGCTGGAGTTTCAAATTCAAATGCCAGGCAGGTTGACATACAAAGTAAAACATGCCCCAAATAAATGATAAAAGGCAACTGACACTAAGCCTCAGCGCTGGAGAGGCTTCCAGGAGGATGGTAAACTGGAGGACTGGAGAACTAGAGCGACTTTCTCTTCAGAGAGAAGACAGCTGCAAATCACTTACAACTGATCATTGCCTTCTATGACTGCTATGCACAGATTTGCTGTTTCTAAATCTGATTTTTCAAGAAATCTAGATTTTTATATGAAACCTGACCTTTAAATGACAGCAACTTAAAAAAAAAAAAAAAAAAAAAAAAAAAAAGAACTGGGCCAGCCCCGTGGCTTAGCGGTTAAGTACGCGCGCTCGGCTACTGGCAGCCCGGGTTCGGATCCCGGGCGTGCACCGACGCACCACTTGTCCTGCCATGCGGGGGCCGCGTCCCACATACAGCAACTAGAAGGATGTGCAACTATGACATGCAACTATCTACTGGGCCTTTGGGGGAAAAAATAAATAAATAAAATTAAAAAAAAAAAAAACTGAATCAAAACACTTTGGCAAGTGAGATGTGGGCCACTAGTTTGAGATATGTGCCAGACTGATACTACCTCCCCCCACAAAACACAAAATACTCTTTAAACTTGAAAATATTTAGGGTTGATTTTTTTTTTTACCCTACAAACTATCTAGTGTCAGATCTCAAATCCTACACGACCTCAATTTAGCCTGTTCATTATTTGTGCCTGTATACTTCATAACACTTAGGGGTAGTTATAATAATACATCTCAGTAAATACATGCTTTATGTATTTTTTTTAAAAACGTGCCACTTTGGGATAATAATTCCAGAAGTCAGGTGTACTTAAAGAACACCACAGATTACATATTTGCACATGCACACATATTCTATTTAGCACATAAAGTTGCTATTTTAGGAAAGTATTTCTTGGCTTTTTCCTTCTTTCTCCACTACATTGTTCCTAAATTCCTATACCAGAAGAGCCCTAGGAAATTAAGATGGGAGACCCAGCAAGGATTTTATTTAGAAGGACAATCTGGCCACATGATTTCAAGGTTTGGATACATTTAGTGTATGTAGTTATTTCAGATTATAAGGTGAGTAGAACTTCTGAGTTCTATTTCTACTTATGCCATAACGGAACAAGATAACTTGAAACCTTTTTTTTGCAGCAGTTTTTTCACTTCCACATCTCCCCTTTCCCAAATGCACGAGGTTGTTGGAAGTTTTAGACACTAAGTTTCTCTAGAATTATAGCGCCAAGCTCAACGCCTGACACAGAAAGCAGCTACTAAACATCTGTCGAACGTTTGAATGAATGAAAGCATACCTGACAGCGCTGTGCTGCTTTCCATACTAGCAAGTTTCCTAACTTCCTCCCCGCCAGAAGTTCCAGGGCAAATTTAACACCACGGAACATTTTATTTAACTCGTTATTTTAACACGGGGCAAGTCACTGGGGATAAGAAAATAAACAAATGCAGGCTGTTTCGCTTATGAAGCAAAGATGACAAGACACGAGTGAGCATGTCCAGCACGCCCTATTTTAAGACTTTAAAAAGTACTAAATTGGTTACACTAATAGGAAGCCCTGGAAAGAAAAAGAACCCCTGGCCTGTTTAGGGCGCTCTTCGGGACGCCGCATCCAAGGCACTTGAAATCGAAGAACCTCTCTCCTCCCGAGAAGGCAGAGGCAGCGGGAAAGCGGAGGCACGTCCCGTGGGCGACCCGAGGCCCAACCCGCACGCCCGTCAGAGGCTACGGGGCCACCTCGACGGCGCGGGCGACCGCTCCTCCACGGCGGGCTCGGGAGCATCCTCCCGCGGGAACGCCCGCTCATCTGACGGCTCCGGTGGTCGCGGCGGCCGACGCTCGCCCGTTGGGAATACTGTTCTTCACCATGACGAGAGAGGTGCGGCGCTCCCACGACCCAAGCCACCCCGCTCTCTGGCCTCTTCCAGAACAGACGCCGGGGCAGCCGTGGCCACTGGCGCACACACCGAGGCGGCCGGCGACCAAAGCCGGCGGCTCCCGCCAGGCGCGCGAGGCAGTGACAGACTCCGGCACCTCAATTCGAGCCACAAGCCCAGGCAACGGGTGAACAGACGTTGCACACGGAAGACTCTGGGAGGCTCACGCTGGGGATCGGGCCGGCTGAGGGGCCGCATCGCGCATGCTCCTAGGCCGACTTGACGTCAGGCCCGGAGGAGCGAGCGCGCCGCTGGCGGCTGGCGGCCGGCGTGAGTGCGGAGGTCACGAGCGGTGCTGGGCCGTTGGTCACCTCTTGTGGTTTGCGGTAAATGAGGCGTCCTGCCTTTGCTGCCTAGACATAGCAAAAGTGCGCTGTCCATCCAGGTGAATGTAGTACTGCCCCTTAAAGTCCCCCTACCCTTCCCTGTTAGACACACCGGTGTTTTTTCTGGTTGGAGCCCTACCCTTTGGAAAAAACCAGCGGAGGGGCCCTGGTAACCGGGACTACACCCGCACGGGCTACTGGGACTTGTAGTCCCCAGGACTTGGCCGACCAGTCAGTCATCCTCTTTGGGAATTAATAGGGTTGATAACCACTCCATTTTACAGCATTCGAGAGCGGTGCTTGATTTGCATCAAATCTGAGTCCATGTTATTTTTTGAGTGCCTACTGTGTGCCGAACACCTTGCTAGGATTGGCGGAGGGTAGATGAGTTCATGCTTCAGCCCTCGTCCTGACTTGAGGGTGAGCAGAAAAGATGAACTTAGAAGGTACAATGTAATGAACAAAAATTATGTTTAATCAATGCCTTAGGGGGTCACGGAAGGGCCAGATTCAGAAAAAAATTCATGGAAGATGTGGGGGTTGAATAAGGCCTTGAAACGTGGAATACTCTAGATAAGGGGGAAGTTGCAAAAATCAAAGGATCCAGGTGGCAGGGAGTATAAAGAAGAATTCGGTCTGACTGTAGTCGAAGGGTTATGTTGGAGAGTAGTGAGCAGGGCTTAGGTGGGGAAGTGGACACGGGGGTCTTTTGGTCTCACTTTCGGAAAGGGCCTCCTTTTTGAATTTTTCTGCAATGGAAACTGTAAGTACAAGCACGGAGATACATCGTCAGATTTAAATAAGAGGCAACATTACAGGACTTACTTGTGTCCAGTTTCTGGACCTCATGGTCCTTGTTGCTCAGTGGATTAATGCATTTTTTATAAATCCTGTAATTAGCTTGTGAGTAGCAAAATTATATTGCATTGTGTGTGTGTTAGATATAAGCTTTCAAAATATACTACAGTTTTTGTAACCTGTTTTGGCATTTATTTATTCAGTTTTTATGTACTAGAAGTCTCGAGGGAAGTGGACTCAAATCTTTCTGGACTACAGGAGCAGGTTATGATGATTTGGGGCTTAGTCTGGAGAGCAGTGGATGCTTTTCAAAGACTTATATATAAATTCACAGATCAGAAGAATCCTTTGTCGGGCTACTTGTTCCTAGTTTTTTATTTTAGAAAATAAGATCAGTTAACTAAAAGATACTCATTTTCAAACTTGTCAGGTAATGGAACACCTGGAAGTCATGATGCTTTTTTTAAGACACTGAAATAATGCTATGTGACACTTAGCTAACTGTAGAATTTTTTTGTTAAATTTCACCTTTTCCATATCCTAGTACCAGTAAAGGGTTGCTGGTGCCATATATTTAATAAATTTAGATTTTGACAAAATGCTATTCGTTGCCTTAATTTTATCATAACTTTGAGTGAGACTTTAATTTTTTTGGCATAGCATCCCAATTCAAATCAAAGAAGTCTAGGAGAGTGTAATTTGGGAAACACTTTAGAGGGAATCCTATGGGATGAATCCTATCAGAAAGTGTTCATCATACTATGTGACAATAGATGAAGTAAGATAAAGATAAAAGTGGATTTTGGACTGAACTCAGTTCTGCTAAGGAAGGAAAGTGGATTAATACGTTTGGAAAGATTTCCAGCAAAAGCTGGGGGAAAACTAAAGGAAAAACAGATTTCTAGTTAGCTCGTAATTAACCAAAGAAATATTACTAGATACCATAATATGCATTTTATGACCATTTTATACACTAGAGATTTTTCTGTAATTTTATTCTGCTTACACTACTGAAACCAAATGACATGTGATGGAAGTAATCAAGGTGAGTGAATGTTAAATTTACACACAACATAAAATAGGCTTTAGGAAATTTCATTTCAGGAATCACCACAGTGATAAAAGCACTGCTGGATAAATTTGCAGAACTCAGAGATTTCTAAATGCTAAGCAAGAGGCAAATATTTATACATATAAAATTGCCTTCTGTTTGCTATGGATCAGAAAAGGCTGAATGAACTACTTGACTTTAATTCTCAGACTTTGACTATGGACCTCTAGGTCATCTGATACAAAAACAGCTAATTCTCGATTTCCTTATCTTTTAGAAAAAGCTTTAACTGCAAGAATTGTAAATTAGCAATATCCTCAAAGAAAAGATTGGATTTAACTGTTGGAGCCAGTTTTCTAATACAGAAAGTTGAATTGCTGTAAGAAGGTAAAAGTCTGAATCATAATTTTTTTTTACTTCCATGTGAGATTTTCAATAGAGCAAATGCAATTTTCATACAGATCTTCAATTTTATCTAATATTTTGTCTATAATCATTTATTTATCTTCTATCATTTATAGGATGAAAAATGAACTAGGCTAGAAATATCTCCAGGTCTGCAAACACCTGATTAATAATTTCTTCTACAATAAGGTTTTTATTTGATAATTTATTATAATTTAACTCTCTATAGAGTGTGCCACTGCTAATGTCCCTAGCTTAGCAGACAAAATGTGCAGGTGTAGGCATCAGGTATTAATTTGAAGTTTGTTTTAGAAGTTCTTGCAGAATGGAAAGTAAATTCAAAATTCTCTTTTCCCAGCATCCTATTCCTGTTGTGTCTAATCTTGGTATGTTGGTAGGAAGAATCTTAAAGGTGCTTGCTTGTTCTTTTAAAGAATCCTTAAATCAATCTCTTAAATACGTTGTTTACTGATTAAACAAAGAATTTAGCTAACTTAGACCTGATTCTCTTCTGTTCCAAGTCTATTGAATATTTTTAATCGCCTTCTGGACCTCTCAGCTGAATGTCCTGTAAGCATCCCTAAGCAACATCTGAAAACTGAAGTCATTAATCCCTACCTCAACTACCTTCCTACTTTGACAATACTCAAAATGATGCTGCTTCTCAGTTACTAAAGCCAAAAGCCCTGGGAGTCTTTCGTTCTTCCCTCACTTTGTCCTACACATCTAATTGCTCACCAAATCCTGTGAATTCTACCTCTTAAATGAATCTTTCTCCACCCTCCATTCCCACTTCCGTTTTTTGATTCAGATCTCTAGCATCTTTCATCACGACTATTATAACGGCCTCTTAACCATCTCCCTGCCTCTGGGGAATATCTCTATGTTTAATCAGATTTTCTTTTCCTCACTAAAGTTTTATAATTTTGCTGGGGTGGGGGATTCCCACACATTTTAAATGAGGTTATTCCTAGGTATTTTGAAAATTTTTTTTTATTGCTATTGTGAAAGTGATCTTTTTCTATTATGTTAGCATAGAGGGAAGCTATTAACTTTGACATATATTCACTTGTGTTCTGCCACTAACAACTTTCTAATTATGTCTAAACGTTTTTGATTATCTTGAGTTTTCTACATATAAAAACCTATCCTCTACAAACAATGATAATGTTGTCTTCTCCTTTAGCTATACTTCTTACTTCTTTTCCATGTCTTATTGCATTAACCGGAATTTCTGTTAAATACTAAAAGTGATCAACTACTCAATACTAAAGGTGATAGTGTATTTCTTTGTTTAGTTTTTAGTTAAATTAAAAAATTTAAATAGCATACTTTTATCTCAAGTATCACAATAGTTGTTTTCTTTCAGTAATATATCATTCTTAAGAATATTTTTTATTTATTTAGAAAGTGGAAATGAAAGAATCATCATGAAAAAGATCTCAAAGACAAAAGAAGATATTAAAAAAAAAGTAAAGTACTAATGGAGTTTATAAGGATTTTGATTATACTAAATAGTCTAATTCTAAATGTAGGATAATCCTGAAAAATGTGATATATTTGCTTCTATATACAAATCATACAGTTCATATGTTAAAAAAAATTAACAATAAGAGAACTTAGGGTACTTTGGTCTGTCAGTTATGTAATAAAGAGCATTATAGTGAGTTATTTATGTATTTACTTATTTATTTATTCCTTTAGTTAAATGTTAATTTATTTATCTGTTCTCTCAGCCAGCCAGCAATTCATTCCCTGCTTTACTCAGAAAAATTTTTTTCTTTTTTTAGTCAGTGAGTGAAATATATATAGGACCAGTATCTTAGAGTAACTCCAATTAAGATTCATATTTTATCCTTCTAGATGAGCATGGGAAATTATGAAAAAGTATCCAGACTCCTGGGGATTCTGGGTGAGATTATTGGGAATTAAAGGGAGAACTCATGAATCCCTTGCCAGGATTGATGTTCCATCACACTTTCAAGGGTTGCTGTCCCTTGGTAAAGAGTAAGAATTAGATATTTTTAATGTGTTGAGGAAAGTACTGAAGGTTTTGTAATAACAGAACATCTTAGTTCTTGTTGACCTTATTCAGTAGTTCATAAGTGTGGTACAGGAACCACTGGTGGATTTTGAAGTTCTTTTAGAAAGTCTGTAGACTTAGGCTCTTATTGTGATAATGTCTTCACTGTGATTATGTCAATACTCTGCTTTGGCTTTTAACATGAATCCGTGTTTTTGCTGTATTGGAAAGCTGATGTGTTTCTGCTTGCTCTTTCCACTACAGCTGCACATTAGTTTGGTTATTATATACAGTTGTTATGTAAGGAGTCTTTTGTTGTTCTATTTCTTAAACTTAAAATGGAAAACAAACTCATGATCCATATCATTCTAAAAAAGGATTTAACATTGTTGGTATGGTTTAATTTTAGAATATTGAGGTTTAAAAAAAATGTAAAAGAAATAAATGAATAACTCATTTTAACATATTGAGTTAGGACATTCAATTAGAAATACCAGGGGGCAGCTAGAAATATGGTATTCAGGAGAACAGTCAAGGTTGGAGACAGATTTGGGAAGCCATGAGAATACACGTACTTTCCAAAGCCTTGAAATATGCCTACATTTAAACTTTAAGTGTGACCACTGAAGGATACAGGAAATAAGTGGCCAGAGAGGTAGAGGGGTGGAGGACAAGGATATAGAAAGTTTTCAGAAATTAAGGTGCCCAACATTATCAGATGCTGTGGAGTAATCAAGTAATAGCTAACACTGATGTAGTGTTGAGTTGCAAAATATTTTCATATGTTTAATCTCATTTGACCCTCCTAAAAGATAGATAAAGTAGGCAATATATGAAAGCTAAGAATAACCATTGGATTTTATCATTAAATGTCCTTTTTGATATTAGAGAGAGCAGTTTCTTAATTTAAAAATCATATATATATATAAATATGTATAAATCATATATATATAAAACCATATATAAAGAGCTCATACCAGTTGATAAGAAGATGAAATTTAAGAAAACAGGCAAAGGATATGAATTGACATTTTAAAGGAGATGACTTTCAAATGGCTGAGGAACATATGAAAAGATGTTCAATACTAAAACAAAAAGATGCAAGGTAACCCCCTCTTTTTTTGCAGATATCAGAAGAGAAAGGTAATGTTGCAGTAGAAGAAAATATAGACAAGCCTCTCCAAAAAGGTTCTCAATAAGTATACTACAACTCTGATACTGTTGGTTTTTATTTTTAAAAGATGTAAATGACTAATCCTATCCTAGGGTTTCAGCTGGGAACACAAGTTTCTTAAGGGATGAGTTCAAATAGAAACTAAACTTCCTGGATAATACAAGGTGGGCTTAAGGAAATAGGTAGCAAAGTCAGTGCATGTAATAAAACTAAGTTTTGTGTAAACATGGAGAATCCACTAGTGCTTGAGACTATGTTAGACTGTGTCAGACCATAAGATACAGAACCTGCTTCAGGAAGCTCTAGATCTTGGGGAGAAAAATACATAAATAATGGTTGAACCCTGGTTCATTCAGCCAGCAAATATTTATTGAGCACCTACTATGTGCCATCTGCCATTCTAAGTTCTGGGAATAGAGTATAAACAACCAACGAGTAATTTTTAAATTATACCACGGCATACTGCAGTTAAGAATAAAGATTCTCATGACCTGTAGTGATTTAGCTTTATGCTTACCCTTTATTTCCACCATCCTCTATGCAACCATTAAGTACTCAAAGGCAGGGAGAAGAAAAAGAAAAATGCAAGGCAAAATGGCCAATAGGTCCTCCATTTTCTACCATACCTGGGCCTGCATAACCCCTATCTTTCTCAGTCCATCTGGTGGATCATCTGATGGATGAGCAGAAAATTCCACATGACTTGGAGAGCACAAAACAGCTGGAGTCCTCTATATCCTACAAGACTGTTTGATTTCCTCCAAGAACTGGCAGAAGTAGGGGTCAGCAGTATTATACTGATTTTACATAAGTAGTTAAAATGGGTACCTAGAGACTTACCTCTCTTCCTATCAAATAGCTTTGATATTTGTATATTCTGTAGAGCAGTCTATATAGAATATGACTGTTCTCATGGATTTTTTTTTCTAAAAGGAAAAAGATAAAGGTTTGCTTATCTGAGCTTTTTTTTGGCCTGGCTTTGAAGAAGGACTCTAGCTAATAGCTGAGGATGCAGAGGGTGGGGAAAAAGTCTCAAAAAGAAACACAATTCAGTCCTGACCATGTGTGAAAGTATTTATTCCAGATGGGAAAGGGGGGAAGGGACATCCATTGGTCTTAGGTTCTAAGCTTTCGTGGGGAATGACCCAATCTTCATAATTGTCATGATTCTTAGAAATGCATGCAGTGTAGCTATTTCATAAGTATTTTTGCTCCTATTGCTGTTTAATTGTGTTATAAGAAAGTCTCGTGAACTCTATATTATGTTGGCCTCTTGACAGGTTTAGATGCAGAAGAAAATCAAAACATGATAGAAACGTTGAGAGGCAAAGTAAGAGAAAAGCTAAAAAATGCTAAGGTAATGCTTATTTATTCTTTCCTGTTTTCAAATTTACTGTTTAAATGCAACATGTATCATAATAAACTTTTCTTTGTCAAAAAAGAGCCAAAATTCAGTCTTAATATCACTCCTTAAATCCAAAAAGCTTCAAGGTCTTTTCTGTGCTTTTTTTTTTTCAAACCTAAAGCCAAGAAGTGATTTGGTCATGGTAACTATATATGACATCTCAGGGGAAAACATGTATATACTTTTTAAAGGGAAAACATTGAGAAGTCTTGATATTTGGACAAAAGACTTAAGAACACGATTATGTCTACATCTGTGAAGATTATGTTTTCCATACCATTTATTTGTGTTGTGTTTCAGATTAATCAAGGTGAAAAATCTTCAACTCAGCTATTCATTGATAAGATATATCAACTGTCTAAGGTGAATAACTTTTTTTTTTTACTTTTTTAAATAGCTTTATTGAAGTATACTTTACATAGCAAAAATTCACCCATTTTAAGTATATGATTCAATGATTTTTAGAAAACTTACAGAATTATGCAATCAACACTATAATCCAATTTTAGACCATTTTTGTCACTCCTAAACAATCCTTTATGCCAATTTACAGTCACTCCCTGTTCCTACTTGACATTACTTTTTATCCTAAAATATTATAATAAAATATTATAGGTGATCCCTGACTTACAGATTTTGTTCTACAATTCAATGTGTAATCACATATTTGAAACTCGAAGTGAGAAAACAACTCATATTTTGGGGAAACTGTATTATTTAGAATAAAGGCTAAGCAGTTTTAACAAAAAGATTCGAAGTAAAATGTCTTAAATAAGATAGAAGTTTTATTTCTCTCCTGTGTAACAGATAAGTAGTCTAGGTTGCTGAGAGAGTTCTGCCATCTTCAACACATGGTTTCCGTCTCTGAGTCCAATGGCAAAGCTCCAGTGTCTTCATTTGCTGGCCTAAGGGAAGGGAGAAGGAAAGAACCAAAGGATTGCAGATTGATCTCTTATAGGACAAGACCTGCAAGTTGCACACATTATTTCCACTAAAGGAACATGGGAAAAATGTCTAGGTATCCAGCTAAAAGTCGATTCTATTATTAGAGATGGGAGAAAAGACAATAATGAACAACTAGTCATTTCTGCCATAAGCAATGAGAGTATTTAACTCTACAAATTTTAAAATGCAAGGATTGGTTTCTGTTTTGTTTTTAACTCATCTTTGTCCCCTCCACAGTGCCCCTCTTGGGTACTTAATAAAAATTATTTTAATTAAATTTAGAAGTAAAAGCAGACTAAAATAAAAGATGTTTGTATACATGTTATTCATTCAACAAATGAATAAACGTGTGCCTAAATTGGATTTAATTTAACCATGAATGGTAAAAACTTGGAAGTTTGTCAAGATCAGTCCATTGATTGTCAAGAAAAGAGGTGAAAAGGAAGCAAAATTGGCTTTTAAGAATCTCCATACCAACTTCTAGACAGGGATATCTGCTCGGAAAGTTGAGGATTTTAGCAAGTGGTTTTTGTGATGAGCAGTGGTGAAGGAAAGTAAAAGTATTAACAGTAATGTGCTGAATAACGATGTTTGGGTCAACAACAGACCACACACATGACGGTGGTCTCATAAGATTAGTACCGTATAGCCTAGGTGTGTAATAGGCTGTACCATCTAGGTTTGTGTAAGTACTGTAAGGGAGGAAGAAACTTTCCTCTGCGCTTCTAGGTTCTTCTGTCTGCTCTAAGAATTAAATTAACATGAGGCAGATTAACAAAAGAAAAACAAAGGTTAATAACATATATACATGGGAGAAACCTAGGAATACCAAGTAACTAGCCAAAATGGCCAAACTCTCACCTTAAATACCATCGTCAGCTAAAGACTGAAGATGTTGGGGGTGAGGAGAGTCAGGGACTTCAAAGGGAAGGAAGGCAATTCACAGGTAGATGAAAAGGAGCAAATATTTGGAAAACAAGTGTTTGGCCACACAGAAACAGAACACAGAGGGGAGCATAGGTTTTGTTTGTTTGTTTTTTATTTTTTTGTTTATTGCAGTAACATTGGTTTATAACATCGTATAAGTTTCAGGTGTACATTCGATTTCTGCATAGATTACATCATGTTCACCACCCAAATACTAACTACAACCCATCACCACACACTTGTGCCGAATTATCCCTTTTGCCCTCTTCCCTCCCCCCTTCCCCTCTGGTAACCACCAATCCAATCTCTGTCTCTATGTGTTTGTTATTGTTATTATCTACTACTTAATGAGGGAAATCGTACAGTATTTGACCTTCTCCCTCTGACTTATTTCACTTTGTTTTTTTATCTAAATTCTTTTAGGCAGTTAAGGAGAAGGTAACAAGAAAAACTTTCTGAGTCTTGTTTCTTAAAAATAATCAGTCTAAAATAATTCTCATGTTAAAGAGACACATTTTGGACTGGCAAATTTTGTTCCCCTTCAGCACATTCTGTGATGTTGGCATGCTGATGAAATTGCCCAACAGTGCATTTCTCAGAATGTGTCCCCATCATTAAGTGACACGTGACTGTACTGACAATTTATATATGCAGCATTGTTACAAGGTGAATAACTTTTCAAGTTAATGTCAGCTAAGTTGTAGATATAAGCAATATGTAAGATAAGCTTTTGTATTTTACATATTTTTAAATTTTTTGGCTCCAGTGACTATGAGTTTTACTTTTTATTATAGAATTAATTCCTCTCCAGAACCTCCCTAAAAATAGTTCATTTTAATATGTGTGTGAGAAAGAAGTGATAAGTGATTTACATTTAAAAGATTTAGACTTTACAGTATTGAAAAATGAGAGCTTATTTATCAGCAAGTTTATCGATAAGAATATGCCACTTTTAATACTTTTAACTACTTCTAACTCCACAAAAGATTGTGGGTGGGGTGAGGTGGTACTTGTGTGGGAGTGCACAGCTGCATGAGAGCACCCAAAAACAGGGAGAGAAAAAGAGAATTCTCCCTGAGCCCACATTTAGATCCAACTGTAAGGTAATGCTCTTAATACTCTGATTAGAGTGAAGAGTTAGTTCGGGAAGATGGAAAAAATTTGGACTCCTTTATTCTGTTTTTTATTGGGGTTACTAGAACCTTCAAACCAAAACAAAACACACAAAAAATTCATGAACCAAACAGACCCAAAGTTAAATATAACTTGACATTGTCTCTCCTGCAGCTCCTGTTCATGAATAAGATAACTGTTACTATTTACCATATTTCAGAAAATTATTTCTTTCCTTATAAGCGGAAAAAGGACTCATTTCAACACTGAATACTGGTTTACTGTTGTTTAACCTGCAGACTGCAGTCTCATTGGATGAAGATGTTTCGTTTTTCATTCTGAGTGGTGAAGAAGGCTCAGCTTTGGGCCAGTCTTCAGAGCAGGTTGGGTTTGTTCCCCTTCCTCCCACATCCTCATTCCCAAGATAAATAACTCTCTATTAAAGGCATAGAATAAAATACTTGGATGGGAGGTGAAATTTTTATTATTGAGCCGCCTTCTCTTTGGATTGAGAAGCTGTTCATAATAATTCCTAACATTTATTGAGTGCTTACTGGATGCCCAATGACATACTAAATTTTTAATGTGGATTGTATTGTTCAATCCTTATACTAACCCTGTGAGACAAGCATTATTACCGTCTCTGTTTTGTACGTGAGGAAACTGAGGCACACAGGGTAAGCATTGATAGAGCTGGGAAGTATAAGCTCTCAGCTCCAAAGTCTGTGTTTTGTTTTCCTTTTGTTGTTCTTGTCCTCTCTAAATGCCCCACATTGTTCTCCATAATCTCTATTACTCTGTTCCCATTCTTCATCCCTCCTAGTCTGGTCCCAGACCCTTCTAATTTCCATCAGTTCTTCCCAGTTCCTCTCAAACTCCTCAGACCCCCGTCGTTCCCTGGTTGTCCTTTTCTCCAGAGCTAGTCAGTCTCACTAGTCTTTCCCCGTCTGCTCCTGATGTGTCAGCCTCGTTGCTCTCCCCATCTGCTCCTGTTCCTCCATACTTTCTCCAGTTCCTCTCTACATTCACATCTCCCCCCAGTTTCCTTGAGGCCCCCCCCACTACCTCCTATTCCCCAGAGTTCTACCTAATATCTTCTGACTCCTCAGACATTTCCAGATCCCTCAGGTCCTGCTTTCGAGTCCCTCTTGGACCCCCATTTGCCCTCCTACTTACTTCCCAGTCCCTTCCATCCCCCTTTCTTTGTATCCTGCTCCAGTCCTTTTGTTCCTTTTTTTGTTATTGTTGTTTTTTCCACAATAAAAAGAGCTTTATCTTTAAAATTTTTAAACAAAGTGTATACATTATAAAAACTTAATGCAGAAAACCACGAGGAAGAAAATAAAAATCACGTGAAATCCCACTGCTCTGAGATAAACCACTATTATCATTTTTATGGCTTTCTCTATGCTTATGCCCATACACAAACACACAGACTTTTATATAAATCAAATCACAGTAGTAAATGGCAATTCCATTTTTCATTGCTCAGCCAAACATTGGTGTCATCTTGGGTCCTGTTTTAATCACATGCCTCATATCCAGTTCATCACAAATCCTGTTGGTTCTATCTTCAAAGTATTCCAGAATCTGACCCACTTTTCACCACCTCCACTGGTACAGCCCTAGTCTAAGCCACTATAACCTCTCATCTGGATCATTGCCACAGTCTCCCTCTGTTTTCGCTCTTGCCCCAACAGTCTGTTTTCTATATCTTATAATAGTCAGAATGATTCTGTTAAAATCTAAGACAGACCATTCTTTTGCTTACACCTTCTAATGGTTTCCTGTCTCACTCAAAATAAAAGCTAAAGTTCTTACAGGGGCCACCAAGGCCTGCATGACCTGGCCCCCTTGTTACCTCTCTGACTTCATTTCTTACTACTTTCTCCTTCCACCCAAGTCCAGCCTGGTTGGCCTCTTTCTATTCCTCACAGCATGCTCCTGCCTCACGGACTTTGCACCTTTTAACTGTCTAGAAAGCTCTCTGTGCTCTCTCCCTCACTGTCTTTGGGCTGCTGTTCAAATGACACATAATTAAAGATACTGTCCCTGATAACTCTATCTAAAATAGTACCCCTAACCCACCCAGCCTAGTGTTCTCTATCCCTTATCTTACTTTATTTTACTTCATAACACTTATCACCACATAGCACATATTTCTTTTTTTTTTTTTTTTTTTT